TTATGCTGGTAATGACCAAAATACAATGTGGAGTAAAAGTGATGATGGTAATCTCCTCATCTTCTTCATAATTTTAATGAGAATGCATCCTAATTTTCTCTTTTTGGAAGATGTGTTTTAGAATAAAAAAATAGATACCCTTTATCAGGTTAAAGAAGTTCCCTTCTATTCCTGGTTTGTTGGTTTATTTATTTATTTATTTATTTTGAGACGGAGTTTCATTCTTTTTGCCCAGGCTGGAGTGCAATGGCATGGTCTCAGCTCACTGCAAACTCCGCCTCCAGGGTTCAAGTGATTCTCCTGCCTCAGCCTCCTGAGTAGTAGCTGGGATTACAGGCAGGCATCACCATCTTGTATTTTTAGTAGAGACAGCTAATTTTGTATTTTCAGTAGAGACGGGGTTTCACCATGTTGGCCAGGCTGGTGTCAAACTCCTGACCTCAGGTGATCCACCCTTCTCGGCCTCCCTAAGTGCTGGGATTGCAGGTGTGAGTCACTGCCCGACTTTATTCCTGGTTTATTAATAGTTTTACTCTTTAAGCCAGGGATGGGCAAACTACTACTCAATGGGCCAAATCCAGTCTGCCACTTGTTTTTGTATGGCCCATGAGCTAAGAATGATTTTTACATTTCATGTAAAATGTCACGTAATATTTTGTGACATGAAAATTACATGAAATTTGAATTTAAGTGTCCATAAATAAAGCTTTATTGGAACATAGCCATGTTCTTCATTCATTTATGTATTGTCTATGGCTGCTTTTGTGCTATAAGGCAGGGTTGAGTAGTTGTGATAGAGCCGATAGGAACCTACAAAGCCAAAGTAAATATCTGGCCCTATATTATATTATATTATATTATATGGACAGTGTTTCACTCTTGTTGTTCAGGCTGGAGTGCAATAGCGCGATTGCACCAGCTAATTTTGTATTTTAGTAGAGATGGGGTTTCACTATATTGGCCAGGCTGGTCTCAAACTCCTGACCTCAGGTGATCCACCCGCCTTGGCCTCCCAAAGTGCTGGGATTACAGGTGTGAGCCACCGTGCTCGGCCAATATTTGTCCCTTTATAGAAAAAGTTTACTGATTCTTGTTTGAAGTCAAGAATGGTACTGGGGGAAAGTTAGGTGAATGGATGTGCAGACCAAGAATAAGGGAAAGATCTCAGCCCTAACTCCTTCTTATACAGATTTTCAATCAGTCCACCTTTTCCAGCTTTACCCTCTTATCCTAGACTTTCTTAGTTTTTAGCTTTCCATTTCTAGAAATTTAGGGCTCTGTCTAAATTTTGTTTTAGACAGTGGTTTTCCTTCTCGGTAGCATTTCTTTGGGTGCACAATAGGTTCCACCATCAGCTCTGCCTTCCACCAGTTTTCCAGAAAAGCATTACAGTCTATTGCTGTTTCCTATTCCCCTTGTCTGCCTGATTATTTCTTTCCGGAGTGATTTTAGCATGTTTGGGGAGGGAGTTAAACCTTCTATTCCTCAGGTATAATCACTCTTCAACCGAGCACAGTGAAAGGGAGGAGACGGAGAGAGGAGACCGAGGGCAGGGAGAGGGAGGAGGGAGTGACGGGGTGGGGAAGTGAGGAGGAAGAGGGGGAACAGCTCCTGGGGAGAGGGAAGATGAGGGGGAACAGGACGATGGGGTGGGGTGGGTCAGGGAGTGAATAGGCGGGGTTGGGTGAGACGAGGCCGGGTGTTTGTGCTTGAGAAGTGGGGGTGTGTGGAGGGGCAGAAAGGTAGACAGTGCCTGCGGGAAGAGGGGGTGAGGGGTGTGGGGGGTCAGTGGGATGAGGGGAGTGGGGAGAAGATTGAGGGTGAGAGGTGCTGGCGTGCTGGGGAAGGTGGGACTAGGAGAGGTAGAAAAATGGGGAGAGAAATGCTGGGGAGAGAAGGAACCTGGGGGAGATTTGAGGGGAGAAGGCGCTTGAGGGGGAACCAGGAGGGAATAAGGCTTGTGAGGGGGGAGTGTGGCCTGAGAAGGGGCTCCAGGGGAACCGTGCGGGGAGAAGGCTGAAGGGGAGCGTGAGGGGTGGAGGCGCGTGAGGGGGAAGCCTGAGGGGAGAAGGTGAGTGAGGGACAACTGTGGAGGGGAAGGGGCGGTCGGGAAAGGCGGGGGGAAGGCACTCGGCCGTAGTTGGGGAGCCGGGAAAGGGGCCTTGAAGCCGCGCCCGCCTGGGATTCAGGCCCGGGTCCGCCTCCCGGCCGCGCCGCCCTCGGTGTCGCCCTCGGTGTCGCCGCCTGGCGTTCCGGAGGCCGCCTCCGGGTCGCCGGCCTGGCGGCCCAGTCACCGCCGCACGGCTTCGAAAGGGAAATTCCTCAGGGGCGGAGCCCCAGGGAAGAAAGCCATTCCCTCCGCCTCTTCCAAAGCGGCAGGGTCCCTTCCTCCGCCTGCCTCTTAAATAACGGGGCATCTCGCAGTTTGGCTGAAACCCGAACTAAACGCAATGCTTGACTTTTACTTTCTCCCAGAACAGGTGTGATATGATCCGTTTTGGGGCCCTTCCTGTTCCCTTTCCTTTTTTCCTTCCCCATTGTCTTTTTTTGAATTGATTTAAGACACAGGAAATTGCAAAAATAGTGTAGTTTTAAAACTGTATCATTCACCCAATTTTCCCCAGTGGTGACATCTTACATAATCATAAACGTTTGCAAAACAGGTACATTGACATCGATATAACGCTGTTCAGTGAGCTACAGGCCTCCTTCACATCTCACCAGTTTTTACACCCTTTTTTGGGGGGTCTATAGCGATACTGGTGGGCGGGACGAGGTCCCCAAGTGCCGTCAGCACCTTGGCTCTGCCAGTGTCCAGGCTCTTGCACCGTCAGGAGAGGGATTCGAGGGAATTCAAGGAGGAGTAAGAAGTCAGTGAAAGTACGGAGATTTACTGCAAAGTGCAAAGTGCACACTCCAGGAAGAAAAGGGAGTGCGGACGCACTCAAGAGAGTCAGGCACAAGGTGCCTTGGGGTTGCTACCTTTATGGGTTTCCTTAACCAGGAGGCGGAATATTCATGAAGATTCCTGGAAAAAGGTGGAGATTCCTTGGAACTGTGGTGCCACCCATTTTTACACCAAATATGGGTGTTCTGGGAACTGTCAGGGCACCGGTGGGTGTGGGATTTGTATCCTACTGAGCATATAATGAGGACTTAGGTGAAAGCTAGGTCAGATCCAGCACCGGATTCGGTCCAGCGGCTCTTAGCCAGCTTGGTCCACACCCAGTTTTTTCAGGGTCTTATCAGGCCATAGATTCTGCAGCTATTTCAGCAGTTGCCTTTTGCTAGTCATCTGAAACTACTGCCTGGAATTTTCTCTCCTCCTGCAACCACCCTGTATTATTCCTGTCTCATAGTACTATGAAACTTTATCACCTGTGTAAGTTTAGGAAAGCACCATCACAGTTAAGATACAAAATAGTTTTGACACCACAAAGAATCCCTTGTGCTCTTTTTAGTCAGACCTTCCCCCAACCTTTATGTGTGTATATATGTATTTGTTTGTTTTTTAAAGATGGGGTCTAACTATGTTGCCAAAGGCTGCTCTTGAACTCCCAGCATTCCTATGATTGGAATTCCAGAAAAAGTGGACATTGGGTGCTGAAATTTTTTTCCTTTTTTCTTTCTTTTGAGACAGGGTCTCACTCTGTTGCCTAGGCAGGAGTGCAGTAATGCGATCCTTCTGGGTGATCTGCTCCTGGGCAAACCTATTGCTGAGGCCTTCCAGAGTGTTGGGATTATAGGCCTCAGTCACCACGCCCAGCCTCCCTCAACTTTATCTCTTGACTACTACTGATCTGTTCTCCATCACTGTAATTATGTAATTTCGAGTTGCTATAAATCAAATCCTACAGCATGAAACCTTTTGAGATTGACTTTTCAAACTCAGCATAACATCTGTGGGGTCCATCCAAGTTTCCTGTAGTTTGTTCCTTTTTGTGGCTAAGTATTCCATTATATGGATGTGCCACAGTTTGTTACCATTTACCCACTGAAGGACATTTGTATTGTTTCCAGTTGTAGTTTATTACTAATAAAGCTGCTATGAATACTCTTGTATGGGTTTTTGTGTGGAATATTTTATTTCTAATATTCAAGAATATGGTGGTAGCTAGACTGTATATGGTAAGTGTATTTTTTACTTTGTAAAAGACTGTTTTCCAGGGTTTAAATAACCTTTAACATTCTACCAGCAATGTTTAAGAGATTCACCTTCTCCAATTTTTGCCAACACTTGGTAGTAAGTGCTTTTTATTTGAGCCCTTCTTGTAGCTCTGTAGTGCTCCCTCATTATGTTTAGATTTGCCTGTTTCTGATGTCTAGCGATGTTGAATATCTTTTCATGTGCTTATTTGTATCTATATCTCTCCTTTGATGAAGTTTCTGTTCAAATATTTTGCCCATTTTTATTTTTTTTAGATGGGGTCTTGCTATGTGTATCAGGCTGGTCTTCAACTCTTGGGCTCAAGTACTCCTTGCTCCTTGGAATCCTGGCTAGCTGGGACTATAGGTTTATGCCACTGTGCCTGGCAAATTTTTTTTTTTTTTTTTGGTCCAGTGGAAGCCCATTTATTCCAATATTATCTATAGAAACTTCTACTCTTTCTTCATTTAATTGCTCTTGCATCTTTGTTAAAAAATCAGTTGGGAATACTTGTGTGGGTTGTTTTCTGTATTATAATGTTCCATTGATATATGATTCTGTTGTTTATTTTAGTACTATACAGTTTTGATATTATAGATGTATAGTATAATATTGTCCTTGGCCTCCCAAAGTGCTGGGATTACAGGCATGAGTTACCGCGCCCAGGCAGCGGGAAATTGCATTTTTAATGCACTAACTCAGGGAATCTTTAATTGGGATAGGAGCCACATTAACTGATTTTACATAAATTGTTTCCTAATATTTTGTATTCATCATTCAGCTTCATTATCTCTACACTCACCTTTCTGCTTTTTTTTCCTACGTTCTGCTCTTAATGTAAAATGATTAATAGTATAACTTCCATTCATTCTTGTGAACAGGACCGTTGCCATTTGTATTAGCTAATTTGCAAAACAAAATTTACCACTATTGATTTCTTGAGGTAAGTTTCACATTCCTGCTTTTATATTACAACTATCTTAGGAGTACATATTTATGCATTTTCTTAAAACTTTCATCATTTTGTTAAACATGGTGTCATTTTGATAGCTGTCATTTTTGCCTTCCTTTTATTAGGGTCCTTTAAGATTTCCACATCTGTATCTTTACAGGAGGGTTAAATATTGTTTTAAATTGGTCTGTTTTTCAGTGGCCTTTAGAAAATGGTTCACAAAATTTTTATAGTTGGAGTATTCTATCGTATGATTTACTTGCCTTTGAAGACCTAGTGGGAGTGCAAATGTTTTGACCCCAAGTTAGAAGTTATGGAGAAGAGATTTCCTTCCTTCCTTTCTTCTTTCTTTTTCTTTCTTTCTTTCTTTTTCTTTCTTTCTTCTTTCTCTTTCCCTCCCTCCCTCCCTCCCTCCCTCCCTCCCTTCCTTCCTTCCTTCCTTCTTCCTTCCTTTTTTTTGTACTTTAAATTCTAGGGTACATGTGTGGAACACGCAGGTTTGTTACATAGGTATACATGTGTCATGGTGGTTGGCTGCATCAATCACCCCATCATCTACATTAGGTGTTTCTTCTAATGCTATCCCCCTCCTAACCCCCTACCCACCAACAGTCCCTGGTGTGTGATGTTCCCTGGATACAGAGAGGTTTCTATAAATCTTTTTCTTCTGAATTCTTGCTTTAGTGAGACATACACACAGATACGGAATCAGCTGAGCTGGGTTGCTGAAGCACATCTACTAATTGCCTTGACAGGGTCCCTTCTTCTTACCAGAAATCTGAGGGAAGTTGCATTAGTCATACCCTTATAAAACCTAGTAGTGGCTGGGCACAGTGGCTCATGTCTGTAATCCCTGCACTTTGGGAGGCCAAGGCAGTGGATCACCTGAGGTCAGGATTTGAGATCAGCCTGGCCAACATGGTGAAACCCCGTCTCTACTAAAAAATACAAAAACTAGCTGAGCGTGGTGGTGCATGCCTGTAATCCCAGCTACTCAAGAGGCTGAGGCATGAGAATTGCTTGAATCCAGGAGGAGGAGGTTGTAGTGAGCCAAGATCATGCCACTGCACTCCAGCCTGGGTGAAGAGTGAGAAAAAACAAAACAAAACAAAACAAAACAAAACAAAACAAAACAAAACAAAACAAAACAAAACACCTACTGGTTAGCTGTCAGATGGACCAGAGAGAGCTATAGAAAAAAAAAAAATGACATGAGAATGACAAAAATCTAATACTTTTAACTATGTGAAAATCTTTCTGGTCAAAAATTTTCCCTGATAACAGTGTAATATGTGCAAGAGGTATGCCAACTAAGGCTGATAAAATCTCTAAATGTGTGTTTTTCACAGATGACAGAAGCAATTTACAATATAAAAATCCATGTTCAATGTCTGTCCTCCATCCTCTTTTCTCTTCTCTCTTTCTGGCAACTCAGTTTTGCTAAATCTATGCAGCTGATCAAAGACCTGAGGATTCTGCGACTTCTAAAATGAACATATCCATACCTGTGGCAGGGCTGTGAGATCACAGTAGACAGCTGTCCAGTGGATTAGACTGTGCTGGAAATTGTGGAGCTACTCTTTTAAGGTTGTGGTTAGGTAGCCTGAAACATTTATGAAACATTTTATACTTTGGGCAGAGACTAATGTCTGGTTTCTCTCCTTTTTTCATCAAACGTCTCCAAAGAATAGCAGATCAGTATGAAACTGGAAGACATGTAGTTAGTTCAAAGAATTTGATAATTAGAATTACAGACTCTCAGGAAGCCCGTTTGGAAGGGACCCTAAAGATAATTTATTCTAATTACTCAGCGGTTTCCTGAGACTCTCCTCTGTAGCATTCTCACTGAGTGAACCTTAAACTCCTGCTTAAACCCTTTGGGCCTCCACTTATCCTTATTTCTAAGATAAAATTTGTTACTTTGTACCTTCCATTGATCTATTTTTGGGGCTATACAAAACATTCTAATCCATTATGAACTTTCACCTATTTGAAAGTCTCATTGTTTCCTCATATTTGATTTCCCAGGGAATTCTGCAACTTCCTGCTCACTTAAGTCTTTCTCTCCTGAAGGCATTTTGTTATCCACATCCCATGATAAAATTGAATGTAATATTCAGGGTCTGGACGAACCAGCACAGAATAGAACAGTATAAAAATGAAATTTCTAAAAATGATTATTTTAAAATAGACTAAAATAAATTAACTCTCTTGGGTGTTTGAAAGACACATCCCACAACTACTTACCTGTATCTCTATATTCTTTCTGCTTACCTTCCTTCTCCTCACTTTTCTTTGGAAAGTGCGCTTCACAAGTTCATTAGTCATCTCCAAATAGCAACTACAGTGTTCTTTCAGTCCTTATTTTCCTTGAGGTCTCAGCTATCCTTTAATCACTCATTTTTCCTCAAAACTCTAATCTTCCTTGATTACTGGAACATTCCATTATGCAGGTTTTCCTTACATCTTCCTATCCCTTAGTTAAATTTCTTCAATATATTACATACAACAAACTCAGTCCTTGGACTTCTGCTTTTGCTAAGTCCTGTATTTTCTCCTTTGAAGAACTCATTCTTTTTTTTTTTTTTTTTTGGGACGGAGTTTCGCTCTTGTTACCCAGGCTGGAGTGCAATGGCGCGATCTCGGCTCACCGCAACCTCCGCCTCCTGGGTTCAGGCAATTCTCCTGCCTCAGCCTCCTGAGTAGCTGGGATTACAGGCACGCACCACCATGCCCAGCTAATTTTTTGTATTTTTAGTAGAGACGGGGTTTCACCGTGTTGACCAGGATGGTCTCGATCTCTTGACCTCGTGATCCACCCGCCTCGGCCTCCCAAAGTGCTGGGATTACAGGCGTGAGCCACCGCGCCCGGCCTGAAGAACTCATTCTAATGGCTTCAGTTGTAACCTGTATTCTCCTAACTCCAGATCTCTCTTGAATGACAAATATTATTGCTTATTCCCTTAAAACAACAATTAGTTATCCCCTCCCTGTCCAAAAACTATCTCCTAGTTTGTTACCTAGTTTCAAAAGTTTTGAAACCATTGTGTTTTTCTCTTTTCCTTACTCTTATGCAGTCAGTCATGAAGTAGTGACTCTTCTTTGAATTTTCTTCTATTTATTCTTTTTCCGTTTACTTACTCCAAGTACTTCTTAATTAGATTTACTACCTGTGATGTTTCTTGTTTTCAATCTTATTTTTCACAATCACAAGAGTAACTATTTTTAAAATGATACCACCTTATTCATCTCACTCTGCCTCTCAAACATTGTAGAATGCTTCCAGTTGCCTGAAAAGTAAAATATAAATTCCTGGCTTGTTCTTCAAATCCCTTTATAATCCTCTTTTCAGAATTATACCCCAAGATGCCTCCCATGAGTCTGCCATAACAGCAGAATTGCCTACTGCACCTGGACATGGTAGACAGTGACACTTTCCCCTTTGCCTTTCATTTACTGTTTGTAATTCACTCAGCATATCAACATCTTATCTGTCTGCTGTGATACGCTGTATACCACTACTCCCTTCCCCATGAAGTTATCACCTTTACTTTCTCATCCCACAGTGGATTATGTTGCCCATCTATTCTTTTGTAACTTAGGTTTTACTTAAAAAATTGCCATGTATACTTATATGACTATGTATGTGATAAGCTACTTGATCACAGGAACTCTGACTTGTGTTTTTCTGTACACCCCTTATTGCTAGACCAGCGCCTTGCAAACGTTAGGCTTGCCATGAGAAGTTATTGGTTGATTGGTTGGGGAGGCTATCATAGACATACTTGTCAAAGGAAATTACTATACATTTCTTTAATTAAAATGTTTTACTTCAGAAAGTGTCCAGTCTTTCTTGACCGAGCCACATATGTATTAAGTTACGAAGCAAATATTTGGAAACTGAGGTTTGTGGCTGAAAGATTTAAGTTTCTGAAGAGCAGAAACTGTGATATGAAGATGAAAGGGATTTTATAATTATAATCTGTTTAGGCAATGGCTGGGATATAGTTTGTACCTGGAGGATGGAAATCATAATAATCACTTGTCTTACAGGCCTTTAAAAACTCTATCCTTATTCTTCCACTTTTTTGTCTTTCTTCTTTCCTTTACTTGCCTTTGCCCTTTTCAAGTCTTTTGATTTTTCATCATTGATTTCTGATTCTCTCTTTCCTTTAACTTTGCCTTTTCCTTCATCACCTTTTGTGTTTTTATCACCTTTTTCTTCTTTATCTGGATCTTTCTTTGCGTGTCTTTCCTTTTCTTTACCATTATTTCCTTTATCTTCAAAACTCTCCTTTTTTTCTTGGGCTTCCTGTCCTTTTAGTACACCCAACTCACTCTTCTTCACTTGGGATTCCGGTTCTTTTGGTACATTCACCTCAGTGTTCGTCACTTGGGATTCCGGTTCTTTTGGTACACTCACCTCAGTGTTCGTCGCTTGGGATTCTGGTCCTTTTGGTACACTCACCTCAGTGTTCGTCACTTGGGATTCCGGTTCTTTTGGTGCATTCACCTCAGTGTTCGTCACTTGGGATTCCAGTTCTTTTGGTACACTCACCTCAGTGTTCTTCACTTGGGATTCCGGTTCTTTTGGTACATTCACTTCAGTGTCCTTTACTTGGGATTCTGGTCCTTTCAGTACACCTGCCTCACTCTCCTTTTCTGGGACATCCTGTTTCTTTGGCACATCTGCCTCACTCTTCTCTACTTGGCCTTCTTGTCCTTGTACCTGCAACTCACTCTTCTTTTCTTGGGCTTCCTCTCCTTTTGATACATTTGCCTCACTCTTCTCTACCTGGGCTTCCTGTCCTTTCAGTACACCTGACTCACTCTTCTTTACTTGGGACTCAGGTCTTCTTGGCACACCCATCTCACTCTTCTCTACCTGGGCTTCCTGTCCCTTCAGTACAACCAGCCCACTCTTCTTTACCTGGGCTTCTTGTCCCTTTGGTACACCTGCCTCACTCTTCCTGACTTGGGACTCTGGTCTTCGTGGCGTACCCATCTCACTCTTCTGTACTTGGACTTCCTGTCCTTTCAGTACAACTGGCCCGCTCTTCTTTACCTGGGCTTCTTGTCCCTTTGGTACACCTGCCTCACTCTTCTTTATTTGGGCTTCCTGTCCTTTTGGTACACTCATCTCACTGTTTTTTAGTTGGATTTTCTGTCTTTTTGGTATTCCAGTGTCACTGTCTACCTTGACTTTCATTCCTATCTTGTTTTTCTCGAAATCAGTGCCTTTTCCTTCTCTTTTTGGCTCCTTTATGTGTGTTGCTATCAAGCATTCAACAGAATTCATAAATATGATGTCATTCTTTAGTGCTTCCTTGTTTTTTTCTTGGCTGTTCTGAGAACTTGCAGTGTCTCCATTTTTTAGAATCTGGATTTTGGAACATGATTTTTTTGCAAGTTCTTCATCCATGTAACCTGGCAATATAACTGGGCATACAACAAAAGGGCGTGATTTAGATATCAAGTATTTTCCCTTTATTTCAATTTTTTCCCCTTGACATTGGTTTCTTTTTCTGTCTTAAAGCTGACAAACTGAAATTTTTCTGAATCTCAAGTTATCTAAAGTGATGGCTCTCTATACATAAAATTATGAAAGTATCGATAAAATTCTGGACTATTTTCAATAATTTGGAAGACTAATGAAAGAAAAGGTAAAATATACTGTAAATGAACTGATGTTTGTTCAGTGGATTATGGCTAATGAATAATGCTTAGCGGCTGACAGAGGATGTATTCTGAAAAGAAATAGAATTTATTTTGAGGAAAAATTGTGGGAGGAAGTAATAATTATATTTGTCATAATAGAAAAAGGAAACAAATATGCTTTCAATATTGAATAAAAACATATCTTATTATGCAAAACTAACAAAGTATGAGCTGATAATTATTAAGTGCTTACCACATACCAAGTGCTCACTGTTCTGAGCACTTTATGTATTAAATCATTTGATACAACAACCAGGTAGGATATTATTAACCTCATTTTACAAATGAAGAAATTGAGGCACAGAACGCTTAAGTGAATATGAATAAGGTTATATAATCAGTAGGTGGTGGAGCTGGGATTTGAACCTGAATAGTCTGACTCCAGAGTTCAGTTTTGACCATTATCATAGACTGTTTCTTGCAATATCTGCTAACTCTGCAAAAATTTCAGGTCCTTTGATCGTGTTTAGGTAAATCAGCTCTGTATGCCTCAACTCATGTGTGATTTAACAAACCTGAATTTATTGGCTTCTGCTAGATATTTTTTATTTGCTTTTTTTTTTTTTTTTTTAAAAAAAAAGGCAATATGGTTCCCTGAATTAAGTAAAAGAAATATTTGAACCACCAAGGAGTTGTGTGGGCTCTTGCTGTGGAGCAGAGGCATATCTTGCTTTGAGAAAATGTAATATTTAATATTTAATATAGTAGAAAGAATACGGAATATAAAAGCTGAATCAGAAGACTTGGGCTGGGGGTGGTGGCTCACACCTGTAATCCCAGCACTTTGGAAGGCTGAAGTGGGCAGACCACTTGAGGTCAGGAGCTGGAGACCAGCCTGGCCAACATGATGAAACCCTGTCTCTACTCAAAATACAAAAATTAGCCAGGCATGGTGGCGTACACTGTAATCCCGGCTATTCGGGAGGCTGAGGCAGGAGAATTGCTTGAACCTGGGAGTCAGAGGTTGCAGTGAGCTGAGATTGTGCCATTGCACTCCAGTCTGGGTGACAGAGTAAGACTCCATTTCAAACAACAACAACAACAACAACAACAACAACAACAACAACAGAAACAAGTTTACTCTTCCTGCTAGCTGGCTAGCTGGGTTTAATGGGTTTTAAGGTAAATCTGTTAACCCTCAAAGACTCACTGTTCTTATATTTAGTTTGATCTGCTCACTTGAATGGTTTAAAAGTTATTAAATATTGTAGACAAATATTAAAGAAACATAGTCTTTGGAGACAGACTGGTTCAAATCCTGCCTCCACACCCACCTAGCTGGTTGACATTTGGCAAACTTTACTTTCTATCTGTAAAGTTCCGCAATAGTAGTAGCTACTTCAAAGAGGTGTTATGAGATCAAATAATGTTATCTAAGTAAAAGCACTTGGTACAGTGCATGGGACATAATAAGTAGTCAATAAGTATTGGCCATTACTACTTCCCAATGACATAGTACAGGAAAAATCTCTTGATTCGGTCAAGATAAGGCATTCTTAGTTTCCAACAAATAACTTAGAGGAATGGTTAATTGTATTACAGGAAAATTTCTTGCTTAAAAATGAATTATCAGACTTTTTGTGTTTTACATTTAGGGTTTGACGTTTGAAAAACTGGTATACACAGAACTTCAGAATTTTATCAATTATAAAAATGAGGCACACCTGTATTAGGTAAGAAATTAATTATAAATCAAAAGGGATGTTGTAGTTCAGTGTTTTCTTTTTTAATTTTCAGCTTTTGACATCCTAATAAAAATAACATTAGAAAACTTGCAATAATGCTTTCTGAACCTTTTTGCATATTTCCCTCCTAGAGTTCTTCACTAAAATAGGATTACTGACATTTTATTCTAGACAAACCAATTTTCAATTTCCTAATGAAAATCAGTAATAATATATTTCAAGCATTGCTAAATTGAGAAAAATAGTTCAGAATATTTTGATCTTTGACAGTGCTACCAGTGGACACTGTTTTGTTTTGTTTGGGGGTGTGGTGTGTGGAATGGTAAGATCATGCTTTTTCATTAAAGCCTCTAACCTTAAGAATTTCATGGAATGTACTCCTCAGAAAAGCTGATTTTTCTTAAGCTATGAATATTTTTAGTTTTACTATCTCTTGGGGGTAGTTATTTGCTACTGTGTGTAATACTACGTGACTCATTTTAACCTAAATTTACCTTCTATATTATATAGATTTTGTAAACCAGAATTAAATATTATAGGAATTCCTGAAGCACCCAGTGTTTATTCTAGCTACACCTTTCCTAATTTCACAGAATTTAAACAATTTTTATTCTTTCTCTCACTACACTGAAAAAGTACCTCTAGTTACTTCTAAAAGAATCTTCATACCTTTATTTTAATATATTTGCTTTCATCTTTTAAGTCCTGAATTTCATTAACATAGATTAGATTTACAAGATTTACTTTTTTTAAATTTAATTTATTATTATTTATTTATTTATTTTTTTTGAGACAGAATCTTGCTCTGTCACCAGGCTGAAGTGCAGTGGCTCAATCTCCGCTCACTGCAACCTCCGCCTCCTGGGTTCAAGCGATTCTTCCGCCCCAGCCTCCCGAGTAGCTGGGACCACAGGCGCGTGCCACCACGCCCGGCTAGTTTTTTTTGTATTTTTAGTAGAGACGGGGTTTCACCGTGTTGGCCAGGATGGTCTTGATCCATTGACCTCCTGATCCACCCGCCTCGGCCTCCCAAAGTGCTGGGATTACAGGCATGAGCCACCGTGCCCCGCCTTCAAGATTTACTTTTGAGGAATCCAGCTATTCCATAAAGTGAGGTTTGCTTTTATTTCAACTTTGCATTGCAGAAGTAAGCCACAAATCATTATTCTACTACATTCCAAGTTATTTTCTTCCTTCTCCCAGATTTCAAGATAGTTCATACATCTTTTCTTTCTCTTGGACCTCATAATCATCCTACACTTACAATGTGAATCTTTCATAATATGAAGACTTGTAAGCCCTGGCTGTAAGTACATTTATTGCAGGCAGTAGCCCATACTACAAAATTCAAATACAATCAAAAGATTTAATCAAGACTTTGGGGATCATTGTAATATATTCAAGCTGATTAAAAAGTAATGATTAAAATTTAAAAATCGGATTAATTTTTGTTAAAGCTAAAAGATATGAAATAGCTATCACATTAACAATTCTGTCTAAATGATACTTAGTGTAGAAAATAGAATGTGGGCTTTATTAGGAAACTAATCTTAGGTTCTTAATCCAGCAGTTGGCAGGGAGAGCACAGACTGTAAAAGATCTGTTCAGTATCAGAGGGATGAATCATTATTGTTCTCAGGCTGTGAATTACATTTTAAAAGATCATATACTCATTAGTTGAATGAGAAGGTGAGAAATAAGAGACCCAGTTTGCTAGGATGATGTTTGTTGGTTTAATGTCTTAAACCTTTCTTTAAACACTGAATTAAACCTCAACCTCCTTTTTCTAAAAATATCAACTGGGGCCAGATATAATGGCTCATGCCAATAATCCCAGCACTTTGGGAGGCTGAGATGGGAGGATCACTGGAAGCCAGGAGTTCAAGACCAGCTTGGGTAACATGGCGAGACGCCCCCCATCTCTATTTTTTAAAAGAAATAGAAAAAAAAATCAGTTGGGAAGATTGCGTTTGAAAGATTAATAAGAATATACGTTTTACAAAAATTTTTAAAAAAGATTAAATGGATTTTTCTCTGGCAACTTAAAAAAATTAGTATTCCTTAAAAATTAATTACTTCTGGGAAGAGACTTGGCCTGTGATCCCTTCTCAGAGCCCTTGTATTAGTCAGGGTTCTTCTGAGTCAAGTTGATATAAAACATCAAACATCAGAGCCCTTTTTGGTGGGAGAGAAACTCACAAGATCACAGTCCTATCACCTTTTCTATGTGAGGAGAGCATTTGAGGGATGTAGGCACATTATGATTATTCTGAATGCCTACTGTTTCTCGTACCATGAATCAAAATAAATTAATTGTCCTGGCTGGGTGCCGGTGGCTCACGCCTGTAATCTCAGCACTTTGGGAGGCCAAGGAGGGTAGATCCCTTGAGGTCAGGAGCTCCAGACGAGCCTGATGAAATCCTGTCTCTGTTAAAAATACAAAATGAGTCATGCTTGGTGGCACAGACCTATAATCTCAGCTACTTGGGAGGCTGAGGCAGGAGAATCACTTGAACCTGGGAGGTGGAGGTTACAGTGAGCCGAGATCAAGCATTGCACTCCAGCCTGGGTGATGAGAGCAAAACTTCGTCAAAAAAAAAAAAAAAAAAAATTTAATTGCCCCTTTCAGCTTCATCTCCCTGCTGTCCCCTCTCTCCAAATCCACTCTCTTTCTAGTATGAACTGAGAAAGAAAATGAGGCTTAAACATAGTTAAATATAAGGACATACTTTGTTTGGAATATTTGAAATGCTTAAAATGTGTCTCACTAGGTTTAAGCGGTATTTACTTCTTTTGATCATATATTTACAGAATTAAACAAAAGTTATTATTCTATTTTGTTTTTTATGGCTTCCTTGCTTGAAGAGCTGAGCCATGTATTAAGTAATCCTAATAGAGAGAAATCTGCATTCAGAAAACAGCTAAAAAAGTCAAACATTAATTTAAATGGGGTCTTCTATTTTTAAAAGGATTTTGTGTACTTTTAACCAGCTTTTCTGTAGATGTATATTTGTATTTACAAACATTTTATAAAGTTTCATGACTAATTACAAAAAATTCATTTGTGATTCGGTATAGGAGGCAATGTGTTGTTATGGAAAGGGTGTGTATTTTGGAGATAAGACGTCCTGGGTTTAAATCCTGACACCAATGTTTACCAACTCTTTAACCTTGGGTAAATATCCGAGTTAGTTTCCTAATCTGTAAAATGTGGAATAATAGCTACCAGGCAGGGATATGGTAAGAATAAGAGATAATAAGAGGTGCTACTTTTGTAAGTGCCTAGCACAGTGCACAATACATAGTCAATGCTCAGTACCTACTGTCTTTCAAAGGTAAAGTTATTTAGAAGACAACAGAAAGTAGATAGGATTTTGTTTTTAACTAGTTTTTCACCCTGTTAATATGATTCAGAGGGACTTCACCTATAACTAAAAAAGAGTTCTAAATTCCCAGCAAAGAACTAATGAATTCAGAAGCCAATCTTTTCATTATGTTTTGCTGAGAATCAGGGAGATTCTTTTTCAGAGCCTAGAAGATGGCCAGAGATTGTGGCATCCTTTCGTATGAACTTCATCTTCTCTACCGCAATCTCCTAAAAAGTAGTTGTTTAAAAATTTGAGGCTAAGCGCAGTTACTCATGCTGCAGTTCCAGCACTTTGGGAGGCCGAGGCAGAAGGATCACTTGAGCCCAGGAGTTCAACACCAACCTGGGCAACATAGTGAGATCCTGTCTCAAAAGAAAAAAGAAGAAAAGAAAAGAAAAGAAAAGAAAACTCTTGGAAGTTTTTGGAGGGCAGGAACATTCAAAATGACCTTAGAAGCACAAGCCTCTATTTTGGGAGTAGAAACAGGTCAGAAAAGAATTATAGGCAATGTAAAATATCAGAGTTGAGAATAGATATGAAACTTACCCACAGGAGACAGTGCTGAAACAAAACACGAAAGATCACTGGGGATTTTCTAACTTAAGGAGAACCTACCTTCCAATAATATTCTTCCTAGGTAAATTCAGAAACAGGATTTGGAAGGAGCATGAAACTCTCTGTTTCATCCTCAGGAGGGTGGCTGGCCAATGCTCCACACCCCGCTCCACATCCCACGCCACAGAGAGGGTTATTTTTAGGATGCCACTTAGTTAATATAGGGATTTGAAATGTGGGGTAGGTGATATCAATTCTACTGAAATTCAAACTATTGCATTTTCTACCTTTCTCTGTTCTTTCATAAGTCTTGTATATGTCTTCTGCAAAACAGTTTTTTGCTCACTGTTCTGGTCAGTTTGAAAAATGTGTATTGTTGGTCAATTACCAAAATCACATCTCGTACTGACACATATTCTTTTTGTCAATCTTAGGGGATTTTCTTTATTTGTAAAAATTATTAGTTGGCAGATTATAGCATAGATGAAATAGGCTCTGTTGTGATAGATTAGCTGGGAATATATGCTGCCAATAATCTTTGGTAGTAAATAACTAGAATCAAACACAAGACTATTATACTTTGTTACAAAAGGAAAATAGATAAGAATTAAAATTGAAATATGAGGAAATCACTTGTTGAAGAAATATTGACTACTCTAAGGTAGAAGAATTTGTAATATAAGAACATTTGAGAAAAAAAGGTCCTAGACACAGAAATAGGTAAGGCAAGGAAATGATCCAAACTTACTGATTTTTCCAGAACTGTCCACTGAAATAGACAAAGGCGAACACATTAGTAGGCACTAGGCTTTCCCTTCTTCCCAGTCCCTAAGCCTCTGCATTGAGTGGGATTTGTGTCATTAACAATTAAATTTCATTTATTGAAACGTGAAGAAACTTCATTTATCTCCCCCTTCTCTTTGCCCATTGTAGTTTACAGAAACCTTGTGATAAGCTACTTTAAATCACCTTTACTTATCATTGATCATTAGCAATTTTGTCTAGAATGTCAATATTACAATTTATAAAATATAGGACATATAATGGTCTTGCTTAGAAGATGTGTGCTAACATTATTTACTGACATTGTTTGATAGAAAATTTTTTTAAAACTATATTTTTTTGAGACAGGGTCTCAGTTGCCCCGGCTGGAATGCAGTGGCATGAACATGGCTCACTGCAGCTTCCACTTCCCGGGCTCGAGCGATCCTCCAGCTTCAGTCTCCTGAGTAGCTGGGGCTACAGGTGCATGCTACCACACCCAGCTAATTTGTGTATTATTTTGTAGAGACAAAGTTTTGTCATGTTGCCCAGGCTGGCCTGGAACCCTGAGTTCAAGCAATCCACATGGCTTGGCTTCCCAAAGTGCTGAGATTACAGGTGTAAGCCACCATGCCTGGCCTGATATGAAATATTTAAGGTATCATTCTTACCAGGTACTGAAATATAGATGTATGTCTTATGTTGATGTTATTTGATAACCCTAATATAGAAAGCACAAAATAGGCCAGCGCGGTGGCTCACGCCTGTAATCCCAGCACTTTGGAAGGCTGTGAGGCAGGTGGCTGGTTTGAGCCTAGGAGTTCAAGACCAGCCTAGGCAACATAATGAGAACCCCGTCTCTGCAAAAAAAAAAAAGAAAAAAATTAGCTAGGTGTGGTGGCACGTGCCTGTAGTTCCAGCTGCTTGGGAAGCTGAGGGTTGCTTAGGAAGTCAAGGATGCAGGGGGCCATGATCATGCCAGTGCACTCTAGCCTGGGTGAGTGAAACTCTGTCTTTAAAAAAGCACAAAATAATAAGAAAACATGAAATTGTAAGAAACATATTGCCAGGATTGTTTACCAGAGATAAATATGTGAAGTTAGGGTATTTAAACCCTAGAGTGGGAGTTGGCAAAGTACAGCCCATGGAATAAATCTAGCATGTTGGCTATTTTTGCATGTCCTGTGAGGTAAGAATGAATTTTACATATTTAAATGTTGAAATAATAATAATAATAATAATATTTTGTGGCACATGAAAATCATATGAAATTCAAATTTCAATGTCTAAAATAGTATCTTATTGGGACATACCCATGCTCATTCTTTTATATATTGTCTACATTTGTGCTACAACAGCAGAGTTGAGTAGCTGTGACAGAGACTTTATGGCTTACGAAACTTAAAATATTTGGCTGGGAATGGTGGCTTATGCTTGTAATCCCAGCACTTTGGGAGGTTAAGGCAGGAGGATCATTTGAGGCCAGGATTTTGAGACCAGCCTAAGCAACATAGCAAGACTCAGTTTCTACAAAAAATAAGAAAAAGTTAGCCAAGCATGGTGGTGCACACCTGTAGTCTCAGTTACTCGGGAGGTTGAGGCAGGAGAATTGCTTGAGCCCAGGAGTGGAGTTTGTAGTGAGCTATAATCATACCACTGCACTCCAGCCTAGGTGACAGAGCAAGACCCTGTCTCAAAACAAAACAAAAACACCAAAACAAACCAAAAAACACAAAAACCCAACAAACAAAAACAAACACAAAACATTAAAAATATGTATAGAAAAAAATTTGCTCACCCCAGCCCTACAGGAAACTAATGTACTAAAAATATATTAGGAACTTACTGGTGTGGACTTGAGGTATTCCTGAAAATCAAAACAAGGAAATGGTTTAACGGTAGCTTTTTTGGAACAGAAATACATTTCTTTCCCACTCCCAATTCCCTAGTTCTTTTCCTAGGATACCATCAAGACCTTTAGCAGAATACAATGAAATATGATGGGACAACAGATACCTTGGTGTGTTGTAAGAACCTGACACTTTCTACCACCTTTTTATGACTCTCACTGTGATTCAACTTATTGTTGTCTTTCTAACTGAACTCTCTGCTTTCACTCTTGCCTCCCAGTCAATTCCCAGTGCAGCAGTTAAAGAAACCCTTTTAAAGGATCAGCAAAGCTCCTGCTTAAGGTCCACAAATGATTCCCCATCTTGGTTGAACAAAAGTCAAAGTCACAATGGTGGTTTTCAAAGATGGCCCTGGAAGATCTGTCCCTCCAAATCTCTCTTATAGCTTCTTTTTATGTCACTTTTCATTCCGTTCCAGCTATATGGTACTTGCTTTCTTGCTTTTCCTCAAACAGACTGGAAATGTTCCTACCCTAGGGTGATTTACTTGCTATCTTTGCTGATTGAACTATTCCCCCCTCAGATATCTGCATGGCTAAATCTCTCATCTAGTTCATGTTCCAGCTAGAAGTTCTAGCAATTGCTGAGAATGAGGTGTTAAACTTTCCAACTGTAGTTGTGGGTTTTTCTGTTTCTCTTCACTTCTAGTAGGTGTTTCTTTTTCAGTGTATTTTGAAGCACTGTTGTTTGGTGAATACATATGTAGGATTTCTATGTCTTCTCGATGTACTGATATTTTTATCATGATATAAGGTTCCTCTTTTGTCCCTGGTAATTTTTTTTTGCGTCAAGGCTCACTTTATGGGATACTAATATTGCCACTTCTGCCTTTTTTTAAAAAAAATAATGCTTTCATGGCATATATTTTTCATTATTTTTACTTTTATTGTTAAATTTGAAGTTACTTTCTTGTAGATAGGATATAGTTAGGTCATATATTTAATGTATTCTGGTAATCTTTTAAAAAAATTGGTGTATTTAGACCTACACAAAATAAATTTGTGTGAGTTGCATGATTATTATGAGAGGCAAGTCCCAGTTCTTTCAAGGAGGGGAAGTCAGGAAAGGCTTAATCTCTGCTGCAGTAGTGGTCCAAGTTTTGATGTAATAAACTTTATGGAGGAAAAGACAAATATCCATCTTTTTTATCTTGAATTCCATTTGAGTGTTTTCTTTGTTTGGATTTTGCAGTCTGTCCCTTCTTCTATTCTCACTTGCTACATCTTCTCATTTTTATTATTCCTACCTTTTATCTTTGGAGTTTTGTTTTGTGACCCTGTGGCTTCAGATTGTGATACAAACTTCTTAGTGTATTTCCCATGGTCTTCACAGCATATTTTGCTAGCATTATTTCCTCTTGCTTCTCTTTTGCAACTTAACTCTCTGACCAGAAGAACAACTTGTTTTTGGTCCTTTCTATGTGGTTTCTTGTTTCTGTGGCCTTTGATTTATAAGAAAGAAAGAAGAGAAAAGAAGAGAAGAAAGGAAGGAAGAAAGAAGACCTAAACCAAACCAAAATGAAAACCAAAAACAAAAAAAGTGTCAGTGCAAATACAGGAATTGAGATGCCACAAAATATCAGAGAAAACAGAGAAAGACAGTAGGAGCTTACTGCCTGCTATTGGACCAATTGCTAAAAAGGAAATAAAACAAATTAGTTTTTTTTTTTTTTAAATTACATACTGAGTTCTTATGGAGTATCCACTTGGAACACCAGAGAATAGATCTTTGGGAAATATTAAATCTTCTGGGACTATGCTATCTCTTATTAAGTCAATTTTAACTCCACTTTAATAACTTAAATATTCAGGCCATTTTGGATGGCGTGTATGATGGGTTATATGAGTAAAAGTCACTTTTTCTAATGAAATAAAAAAATTTTTAAACATTTTTAAACTAGGGCAAAAGGTCCCTGGAGACTGGTTAATGAAGGTTACTAATTTACATTATCTCTTCATCATCTTCTTTTGTCTTTTCATGTTTTCCTTTCAAATCTCTACCATTATACCAGCTCTCATTGTATTCTTTTTTACAGTACAGAAAGTTTATTTGTAATTATGTTTTAAAATGTTTGTAATAATAATTTTTTTATATTTTTTCTTTCTGATAATCTCAAATTTAATCAGAATTTTAAAGCTGGCCTGGGAAATAACATATATTAGAAGAAACCTTTCAGATATTTTAGGATACCGAAGAATAGTCGACTTAAGAGAAAAGGAATTTATGTATTAGGCTTATAACTTTCTATTACTGAATGTTTATGTCCCCTCAAATCTGTATGTTGAAGTGATAATCTCTAATGCAATGGCGTTTGAGGTGGGGACTTTGGGAGTTACTTAGGTTATGAAGGTAGAGTCCTCATGATTGGGAATAGCATCCTTGTAAGAAGAGACATGAGAGAGATTGTTTCTGACTTGTGAGAATACAATAAAGCAACTGTCTGTAGGCCAGGAAGAGCACCCTCACCAGGAAACATCAGCCTGCACTTTGATCTTGGAATTCCCAGCCTCTAGACAGCGAGAAATAAATGTTTGTTGTTTATCAGTTTATGGTATTCTATTGTAGCGGCCTGAACTAAGACACACCCTATGCTAAAATAACAACAAAAAATAACGTGATTTTCTTAGGACATGGAGACACGCGTTCTTACCAGCACATTTCCCAGAGGTATTAGAACAGGGCAGAGCAAGGATGTTATAATGACAAGCAATCCTAAGAGCTTACATTTTCCAGTCCTCTTCTATAGTCCTAAATCTTTCATGGTGAGTATCTTTAGAGTGTGAAAAATGTAGCTGAGTTGAGCACCTTTTCTTTGTCTTTTCAGTTTTTATGAGAATTTAAAACTCTTCAAGAGTTAGTAACACTTATTTTAACTTTTGCTGCTTCTACTTTTTTTTCCTATTTCAGTATCTAATCTCAAAATATCTGTTCTGTTCTTCACTGTTCATTATATTCTTCCTCTAGATTTTCATTACTAAGTTTCCTTATTCCTTGCCTTACTGTGGCAGGCCAGCTCTCACTAACGCAGGCCTTCGTTAACAACTGTTTTAGCACTCACTGAGTGGTTAAGTTAAATATTAAAAGCTGATAGAGCCAGGCTGGAATGTAACAAAAGCCCACCAAGAGTTTTGCCTAGGCCTTTCCTGGGCCTTGCGGCATGACAAGATAATGAAGGAGTTCTTAACAGGACCCTTTTAGGATTAAAACAAATTTTTTAGGGGTCTGAAGAAACTCCTCAGGCCTCCACAAACAGGTTTCTTGGGGGTCTGAAGGAACTCCAAAAATCTCCATGATTTAGCAGGAGGCAAGATAAGGGTAATCACCCCAGCACCTGGACCCATTTAGATTAAATAAATTTCCTGAGGCTCCAGAGGAAGGTCTTCAGGACTCACATCTTATTCATAGATTAGAAGAAGTTAATCACTTATGTCTTTAGATGAATGCACACTTACACATAGACGTATAGCTTAGAAGGTATATCGGCTCTGGAAAACTTCGTAATTTTGAGTTGGTCTGGCAAAAATTTCCAGGCCTTCTTTCTATACCCAGTTACAGATATAAAAACTATCTTCTTTCCCAGTTCACCTGCATCTCATTATTGGGCCATGAGGAAAAGCAGCCTGACCTTCAGTTTGGTCCAGTAGCCAAAAAATATCTGAGCTACCTTATTTTAGGAATTTTGTTTTATTATGCCAAGCCCATATCACATCTGTCCTCTTTATCTTTTGCATCAATAAATTTTTCACTTAAAATAAATAATTTTAGGAAATGCAGAAAAATCTGAACACAAAAGAGAGGGAAATATGCCAATTAGGTTTTGAGGTAAGATAAATGAGTGCAACCAATCAGAGCATGGAACTGCACTCCGTAGAAAGCTAAAGGACACTAGAATTGCCAAACAAACAGCGATGTTGTTGAGCTTTTGAAAATAACTCAAATAAATTAATATAACACAACATTCAAGCTTCCACAAATTTAGTTACTAATCATATTCTTTACAGTGGGAGAAAAGAATTCCTGAGACCATTCTTTTAAGAGAGAAGCAGCAATGAAATATCATCAATCCCTCTGCTGTTTTTGTCTAGTGGCCCTAAGGCTAGAGGGCCAGGCTGGAGGCATGAGTCTACCCACAACTTTATATAAACTGTAGGTAACTGGAGTGGTGGTGATAACATGCAGTATTAGGAATTATTGATATTTAGATATTAGTTTTCAGTTCATATCAAGCATTAAATTCATACAATTATAAAGAAGCATTATTTATGAATTATGAGCTAAGAGTGATTGTAAAGACTCTTTTTACAATAAATTTTTATTCTTTGCTCATAGGTCATTTAGAGAAGAGTTGAAATGTAGTTATTTGATCAAAATGGCCTTGTGTATGAGGTTGAAGGAATATGGAAAGCTGCTGAAAGATTGGCAAATTTATCAGAAAAATCTCATTCAAATCGAAGTCATACCTCCACCTAATGTCTTGAAAACAATTTGTCTTAATGCTAGTGTTCCTAAAAATAGTTAAGAACAGCAAAGGTTTTATCATCTGACAAAAATATCGAGCTCTCTCACAACACTTAAAGTGCTTGAACTAGCTAACGTCAGCTTAGAAGACGCTCTTTATGACTGCCAAATAAAGGGCTAACCTATGATAGCCACTTTAGAATCCCATATAAAAACAAGTACTCTGTGGGGGTGTTACTTTGATAGAGTAACAAACATGGCCTCCCGTGCTGATAGAGTTGGTGAGGCCATCATCCCACAATAATTGTAACATGAAAATTAAAGTCTGTTATAAGAAACATAGGTGCAGAGAGAGAGAAAGTAGGTATCAACATGTTTTTTAGGAAATTGGGGAAAGACAAAATTTCATTTTCATGGGTGATTTTTGAAAATGTTTCTCTTAAAAATTCTTTACTGAAAAAGTGTGCTAAAGCAGATGTTTGAAACATAGTGGGAGGAAGAAATTTAGGCATTATTATATTCAAACTTAGATTTTATAATTTTGCTGTATTCTCTCTTTTGGCTGAGAGACCCAATTTCTTCACTCTTTCTTTTTCTTCATTTTCATATTTCTCTTTGTGGCTTGATTTGTTGTTGCTAAAATGTTTAAACTGTTACCAGCACTTGTCTCTCCCTCATTATTTTTTTTCTCTACCAGGAAGGATTTATGCTTTATAACAATTTACAGATAAGTTAATCAATTGTTCTAATAATGTGGAGCAAGAAGAATGGAACATCAGATTTGCAAGGAGGCAATTAGAAATAATACTAAATAGAGATAATACAAATTAAATTTTTAGAGAGATTAAATAATTTATCCAAAGTACATATGTGGGGTTTTAGCTGGTATTTGGCTTCATTTCTGGCCTATTTGATTCCTTTCTTAACCACTGTACTATATTTATTACCTTCACATCTTTTTACCAATTACCATCATGAAAATAGTTTTATTTTGGAATTATTCCTTAGGGCATATCTCTAGAAATAGAATTGTGAGTTTAAAAGATATTATATGTTTATGAATCTAACATGAGACTGCAAATTTGGTTTCTAAAAGGGTTTATTAATTTAAGTGAGATTGGTAATGTGTCAATATATAATTTTTATTGAAACATTTCTGGCATTAATTATACTTAAATTTTCCTCTTCATGAAGTGAAAAGGATACTACTACCTCAGGGCTTTAATTTTCTATTACTTATTTATTTTTGTCAATCATTGGGCATAATGTAGTTTCTAAATTCATCAGCAACTTAAAGTGATACTATATAGGGGGGCAAAGGGGTTTGGGAAGTATGCATGCAAAATTCTTTACTTCGAAGAAACTTTTCTAAAAGGACAATGGAATTAATAAATAATAAAATGAATAATAATTTACCAGTAGGTACTGGAGTAACTAGCAGAACAACGTGAAACAAAAATTGGCAGAGTTTTTGGATCAAGAATATAATTTCTTTCCTTGCTCATTTTAAGAGATTAACAAAAGAGATCTTGGAAGACAGCAAACCTCCCTTGAAAGGTATCCGTAATGGAATAAGAGTGATTAACATTTCTTTCGTAGTAAAAGAATAGTCTTAGTCTGAAGGGACTAAGTTTTGGTATTTATGTGACAACTGGTTTTAGTATTTTAATTTGGTAGAAAGACAGAAGGGGACTAACATATCAATATTTAGGTAATTATTTTTCTTTCTAGTAGGAGGGTTTAAATACTGCAGTAAACTCTTAAATAGTTACAAATTTGAATGCTAACTGCAGTTATTCTGCCTCTTCCCAATAATGCCTATATGTGCTTTTCCTTGATTTTTCCTTTATTATCTCCATATTTGTTATATCTCACCCTATATATCTTTCCTTTTTGCAGTATGGAAAGTTTTTTAGATACTAGTCAGTAACCAAAGGGGAAGAAATTGGTCGATTGTAGGCAGAGATCAATAAACATGGGCAGTTGTAGCACATTCAGAAGTGAGGATAGTCTTTACTTTTTTTGCCTCCCTCCTCAGGCAAGAGTATATAACCTCTATTAGGTTCCTTTTTTTTTTTGAGACAGTCTTGCTCTGTCACCTAGGCTGGAGTACAATGTGCACAATCTCAGCTCACTGCAACCTTCGCCTCCTGGGTTCAAGCCACTCTTCTGTCTCAGCCTTGAGAGTAGCTGGCACTACAGGTGCCACCATGCTTGGCTAACTTGGTTGGAATGTCTTTCTCTCCTTCCTTCTTTCCTTCCTTCCCTTCCTTCCTTCCTTCCTTCCTTCCTTCCTTCCTTCCTTCCTTCCTTCCTTCCTTCCTTCCTTCCTTCTTTCTCTCCCTTTCTTTCTTTCTTTCTTTCT